TGCCCAGCATTATTCCTCTCCAGGTGCAGGACCCTGCATTGGCCTTTGCTCAATTTCAGAATGTTCCTCTCAGCCCATCTCTGCTGCACTCTCTGAAGGACAGCACAGCCCTCTAAGGCCACTCCTCCCAGCTTTGTATCAACAGCAGATTTGCTGAGGAGGCACTCTAACCCCTCATCCAAGTCACTGATGAGCAAGTTAAACAATACTGGCCTCAGTATAGAACCTTGGGTGACACCACTAGTGACAGGCCTCCAGCTACACTCTGTGCCACTGATCCCTCTAGGATCTGCTGTTCAGCTAGTTCTCAATCCACCTCACTGTCCACTCATTCAACCTACACTTCCTGAGTTTGCCTATGAGGATGCTGTGAGGCAATGTTGAAAACCTTGCTGTAGTCAAGGTAGACAATATCCACTGCTCTCCCTTCACCCATCCAGGTAGTAGTTTCATTGTAGAAGGCAATCAGGTTGGTCAAGCATGATTTACCTTTAGTGAATCCATGCTGACTACTCCTGACCACCTTCTCGCCTTTCATGTGGGTAGAGATGGCCTCCAGAACGAGGTACTCCATCACCTTTCCAGGGATTGAGGTGAGGCTGACTGGCTGGTAGTTTCCTGGGTCTTCCCTTCATGCTCTGTTTGAAGACCAGGGTGACATTTGATTTCTTCCAGTCCTCAGACACCTTTCCTGATCTCCATGACCTTTCAAAGATGATCATGAGCAGCCTGGCTATGCTGTCCAGACCGCTTTCTCAGCACTCGTGGACATATCCCATCAGGGCCCATGGACTTGTGGATGTCAGGTTTGCCTAGGTTTTCTCTAACCCAATCCTCTTTGACCAAGGGAAAGTCTTCCTTCCAATATTCCTTTATCCTGGTGTCCTGGACCAGAGATTCCTGAGGACTGGTCTTGTCAGTGAAGACTCATGCAAAGGCAGCATTCAGCAGCAGCTGAAGCTGCCGTTGCCATCGATGGAGTCTAAATCCAGCTATGCCTGCTGCTGCTGCCTTCCTCAGGCACCTGTACTCCACAAAGGCAGAAGTCACCATCATGTCTGGAAACTGCAGAAAGGATCAGGTACCTGTGCCTGGACCCTGCTGGCAGTCTGGCATCGGAGCACAAATCTGCAATTGCCAGCTGAGGCACCACACTTTGTGCAGATGCACAGGTACACATTTCTTGCTCCTGGCATTGCTGTAGGCAGTTGCTGACAGCAAGGGGTGGAGAAGGGTGCAGGACCTATTGTCTCCTCTCCCACAACTGCACTGGCCAGATGCTCCTTGCCAGAGTGCTCACATGCTACATACACAATTGCCACTGCAGTGCAGAATTACTTCAGAAAGCAAGAACAGTCAAAAAAAAAGGCTCTACTTTAACCCCGCTGAATAGATTCAAGAAGTTACACATTTGTTTTGACTTGAAAGTACACAGAAAAAGTTATAAACTAGTGTAACTTGCAAAACCATCCTGGAAGGATTTCTGCTACCATTCAAGTTGTGCAACATGCTCGACTGGAGACTTATTTCCATGCAAGCTGCTTGGCATGAAATCCCACTGAAAGGCCTGTGGTTCCCCAACGCTGTCATGACGTCATGATTTAGGATTTTTTGAGCTATCAGTCCAGCACAGCCGGTGTCATGGTTGCCATTATACCATGAAACACTGAGGGGTTTCAAATGAAAAAGGCTTCCCCATCTGAAATGCTTAGATTTCCATCATATTCTCTGGATTCTTAAAACCAGGCCAGTTCTGTAAGCAGAGTATAGCTGATATTTAAGCACAGCAGGAAACAGTGCTGCTTTAACTGAAAATAAATCTGTCAACAAGGAGGCACAGGGAGAGCTCCACTTCAGGCTTTTCAGGTTCTTATTAAAAATATAAATTAAAGTCAACATTTTCACATTACTTGCTACATCTGTTTGCTATTCCATTATAAATAAAAATACAGAGGCCTCCAATTCAGCATTAGTTCACAAAAAAGAAAAAAATCAAAAAGTCCTTTTCATTTAATACTGCATTGTAATTGTTGCTGTATTACCAGAAGAGGTCCACAAGAAATAAGCCAAAGTCATTACCCAAAGACAAGCTGGGCAATTAAAAAGACCTTTGGCAGTATACTACCTTTCCCCTTCTAAAGGATGAAGGACAGCAAGGTTATGGAAGCACATCCCTATTGTAGGAGCTCTGCTGTCTGTCACAAGCAGATACAGCTCTGCACTCATTGCAGAGACAGCTGGGAAATTAGAAAACCCCACAAACTCACTCCTATCTCCAGAACAGCTGAACAGAGTTCAGTGCCACACCAGTTTCAAAGGAAATCTGGCAAAAAGATTGAAATAACTCCCCTGTCACTACATGCTCCTGCCAGCCATTCCACAGCATGCTTTACCTGGGACAGCAGAATCTCAAAGCCCTTCAAGCCATCAAGAGACTGATAACATTTTCCTAAACAAAGGCTTTCTTAAATGCCCTGAGAACAAGAGCCTGCAGTGTGCACCCGGGACTGGGAGACTGAGTGCAGCTCCCTTGGCCACTGCATTTCAAGAGCAGTTAGCAAACAACAATTGCCCTTGGGACAAGAATTGCTGCCAACTGCTCAGCTCCTTTGAAAATCTTCTCTCAGCCAGTCCACAGTGCTCACCTGGAATACCTGCTTACCAGGTAATAATTTCACCTTCAGTGTTTAAGAGATGTCTAAGTCTTGACAGCTCTGCTACATGCATAATTGTATGTTAAGACTTTCAGACACAAAGGCAGAACAAACCTACTCAACAGCACATGCAGTATTAAGTTTTGTAGCTCCATGAATGAGCTACTGCCCCCAAACTAAAGGTGACAGACCACAGACAGCTGAACATCTCAGGGCAAGTGTCACAGCAACACACAACTGTAGAGCCAGGAACACTGATCCAGCCACAAAGACAGGAGGGAAACACACATTTGTACTCAGGGCATGGAGATCATTTTGATGGATCTAAGCAGGTCTGTGCTGAAGAGTTTGCAGCCAATATTCCCCAAGCAGCACAGCAATGATGGCTCACAGTTTCGCTGCTGTGCCCAGCTGCAGCAGCCTCCAGTAGCATGGTAGCAGGGGCAGCCAAGGCACACCAGCTCTCTAAGCCTCCTCCCAGGATCACAGACATGCAGGGCAGTCAGGGACTTCAGACCTCCCAGAGCACAGCACAGACTTTCCTCCTGCTTCACTCAGCAGGCCTCAGAAACCACCTGCAGCCTATGTCTAGAGATGGGAGCTTAATTCCTGTGCCCTGCAACCAGCAAAAGGCACATTCCACTATCTCAATCCAAATTTTCAGATCAAATCATGTAACAGTACAAACAGATAGGAGGTCTCCTGCCAGGAAGTTAAAGTTGTGACATTCCACCTATGTGATGCTTTTGATTCTCCATCCCCAAGTATTCCACTACACAACAGGTTTTGGTGTAGCTGACAGGTTTGGGGAGTGAGAATCCAGAGCATGTGCCAGGACCAAGGAGGCTGTGACCTTACATAATTTGCTTCTTCATTCACAAAGACACACCACCCTTCATGTCTTGAGCTGAGACCCTCATATCCACTCCAAGCTCTCATCCAAAACCATCAGGAAAGGGTCTGAGCAAAGAAAACAGTCTCACCCTGGGAAAAAGTCAGGCTGACAATTCACCAAAGTGAGGAGATCAGCATAGCACTTACTCCCTCCAAAATTAGTCCCATCATAACAAGACGGGCAAACACAGGTTATGTAATCTTGGCAACCAGACATTTTCAGTGGCAGAGGTGAAAGATCATGATCTGAGAACAAAGGCACCACATGAAGACCTCCATGTCCATGCTAGGGTCTCTTGTAGAAGAGAGGGAAGGAAGACTTAATTTCTTTTACTTGCCCTACTTTTTCTCTGTCCCTGCAACTAATGACTGAGGTTTGTTGTTAGCAGATGTGTTGGCTAAATGTCCCAGGTAGATCTCTGTGACACTAGGGCTCTGTATAAACACCAGTCTTAAGAGACTTGTCTTCTGAAAAACAGTTCTGTAATCACAAACATAAGGTAAAAATACCAGGAAAAACTGCCTGCGTGCTGCTGTTGCAAGAGAAGCACTTGGATGAGAAAAACTGGTGGCTGAATCTTAACCAAGAGAAACAAAAGGGGGAAAGCTTGAGTGAACAAACTGAGGCCTTTGCTGCACCATTCATCACGGACATGCAACTCTGAAACAGTGCAAAGACAGTTTCACTAAACTGCAACAGCAGAAACCATCTGCCATCTCTGGCTGGTTAGAAGGCCATGCCCACAGCCCCAGGATCATGACTGCTTGGCTAATGCTCCTCACTTTAACTGGAGTTAAGGAGCAAGGTCAGTTAAAAAAAGTTAAGAATAAGGTCAGCTCACGCTGCCTGCTTAGTCTAATACAAAATGCCCGCTAAAAACCATCTATACCAACAATCTAAGATAATTTAATTACTGGAAAAAAGACAGTCAAACAATTAAAGTTTTATGCTTCTGTTACACAAATTGGCACTTTACACAGCAGCCACTGGGGTGGCAGTCTGCTGACAGTAACACTGCTGCGCCAGCAACAGCAAAAATGCCCTTACAGCAGTTTTCCAGAGGAAGGCATTTAACATGCACAGGGAGGGGTCAGGATTTAAGTGCATGACCATAACAGACTACCAAGAGTGAAAAACACAACAAGGCAGACAGTTAAAAAGAAAATTTCCCAACCAGTTAAAAGTAAATAAAAAATAAAACCACAAAAAAGCAACAACAAAACACTCAACACTGAAAGGAAAAATATATTGCATTCAAAGCCTACAGAGGGGAAAATAGGAATTCTTCTACATCCAAGAACAGGAATATGTCATCCTTTGTGAGACCAGGGCTAGGGTATTCTCAGCATAAAATCAGCTCTTCAAATAATATGAACAGCAGGACAGGGTTTTACCTATATGCCACCAAAATGCAACACAAAACACAGCTACAGAAGTTTGGTGACACTTACTCATGTACTCTGTTGTCTCCATACAAGTCACTTAACCCAAAGCTGACATAGTGCCAGTGCTCAGGAACATTCAGTGCTGGGTTTCCCAGGTTTCTGTACATGCTAACATAGTCCAGAGGGTCAGGTCCTCCCAACCTGCATCAGAAACAGAAAGATTCTTAGGTAAGTTAATTTATTCAAGACAAATGGTAAGTCTCCCCAGGTGCTACAAGAGATTGTCCAAAGACCTGGTCTAAAACACAGCTAGTGACAAAATTAAATTAGCACATTCAAGTTACCTCTAAAATAGAAACAAAATTAAGGAGAAAGGTGGGGTTAAGTCCCAAAAGCTTCAAGCACAGGAAGGCAAAGTGCATGTGTGCAACACACTACAATATTTTTAAATGTTAAAGCATAAAAACTTCTGGAAAATCATATTAAAACTTCCAGAAAACACAAAGAAAATTGGAAAACTGTACTAGTAAAAGAGCAATAGCTGTATCTGCATTGCAAGCTCTTAATTCAGTCCAGAGGCACATACCATAATTAAAAAAACCACTGATGCTATTACTCAAAGCAGAATTTGAAATGGCTACGTTTTGAGGAGAGTATTCCATACTTCTGAACATAGATGAAGCAGTTAAAACAGTGGAGGAGAAAAACATTGATTCAGAAAAATTAGCACCAGAACTTGTAAAATACAACACTTGCATTAATCAAGAACAAGTAGAAAAGCACCACTGCACCCTTTGCTTCAATATTAGGATGGGTTCCTTAAAAGAACATTACTTAAAAGTCACTGCAGCACAGCCAGGTTACATGAGGCAGCAATCAGCAGAACTTGCAGCCACCTTTCCTTCCCATTGCAAGGCACAGCAAGGCTGGTGTGCCAGCAGGGAGCACGGCACACTACCCCTGCCACTTTCTGTCACACCTGACTGCAAAGGCAGGACAACTCCCTGCTGAAGAAAGGAACACCTACACTGTTTTGCTTACAGTTTGCCCTATCCTCATAAAACACTTACCACAGGCAGTTACAGAATGGCTTGAGCAGCAGTTTAACTGTTTCTTGCCTACCTTCAGGTAAAACTCTCCGCTGCTCCAAACAAGAAAATCCAAACTAAGATGATCCCCTTCATTGAAGCCATTGATTAGACACCAACTCCCCTAATCTGCATTGTCTGCTCAGACCCTGATGTGATCATCTGCAGGTTGCAGGGCATGTCTGTGTTTCCTCTGCTAGCCCTGGGGGTTTCTGTACCATCATTATGCAGTCACCATGGCTGGATAGATTGACAGTGATACACTATTTGAAATCCTTTGCCCACCCTTATCAAGTCTGTACAATGCAGTTTATCAGCTTGTTGTATTGAAAGGCCTGTGGGTTCCCTCAATGAGTGTGCTGTGCTATCTTCCTCCTACTGCTGCAGGAAAAAATGCAGAGCAGCTACCTAACTCAAGTGACTTTCCCTAGGACAGCTTTCCCTGCTCTTAAGTCACATGAGGCCATCACGGTGGTCCTGGACCAGCTCCAGTTTCCCCAGCAGGTCAGTCAAGGATGCAGCCCAGGATACTGGGACAGGACAGAAGGGGTGAGCAGCCTCACTGCTGTTGTCATAGAGGTCCATTGGCAAGGGCTAAGTCAGAACTGCATAGCCTTCTCATAATACAAATGGTATCTTCACGATGTAAAACTCAAATTGGTGAGCAAGGACAAGGAACGCATGTTAGACCCTGGGTTGGAGCAGAGTCTGATCCTCAGGAGCAACCTGGGAACACCCATTCTCAAAATCTAGCAATAGTTTGAAACACTCAAGAAAAAACGGGACTGCCTTGACATACCCTTTCTCCACCGGTTCCCTCTCACTGGCACCAGGACACAGTGCAGGCTGAGATCTCTACCACAGACAACCATTCAGGGGACTTTGTTCAGAGTGTGGCACCAATGCCCTGACCAGTGCTCACGCTCCCTGGGATCCATGACAGAAGTAGCCAGGTGGAAGCAACTCCAGCCAGGATAGTCACTCACCCCCAAGGAGTGTGAATGAGCAGCAGCAGCCACACACAATTATTACCTGATTGGGAAGACCCCAGAGAGAGGGGGTCTGTATGCTGACCAGCAAACCAGTGCGAGAGACCAGTGAGTGGCCAGAGCAGCTGTGTAGGATTTGCAATGATGAAGGGACCACCTGCTAAGCAACAAGCATCTCCCACAGGCAGTAAACCTGCTTCCAAATTGGATTTAATAATACTTAACAATTCATGCTGGAATGCTGCTGACACAGCCACTCTGACACTGACAACATGCAAGCCAAACCCTTACACTGCCCTTTTTCAGGACAGGGACTGTTCCATGAGCATGCTTTTCCCTAGGGCTACTCCAACATACTTGTCAGGTCTGATGGAGACAGCAAGTCCTTCCTAGACTGCTCCAGGCCAAGCCAGACACCTCTCCCACACTCCTGCCAGGAACTTTATGTTCCTCTCCAAAGGCCAAGCCTCTCTGGGGACCCACAGCACTGTGCTACCCAGAAGGTGCCACAGCCACACAGCACCAGCCAGCTCAGGGGAGCCAAGCTCTGTCCTGCCCAGAGGAGACCTGGACAGAATTCACTACCCACTGTGTCACACACTGCTCAACAACCCAGACAGACCATCTTCACTCCCTGAGAAATACAGTAGGCTTGGAAGAGAGGTAGACAAAAAGCCAGTGGCAGTGACTAATTACATTTTGAAAAACGCACTTCCAAACCACATACCCATCTCAAAACCACTGCAGAAGCATCCAGCATGAGCTTTAAGCCAGCTACCTGGAGCACGGCGAATAACATACCCATGGCAATAATGCCAAAGGTTAGTCAGCACAGATACTCATCCAGTTTCAGTGGCAGGTTTCACTACTATGCTAACTCACTTGCTGTGGTACATCCTTCCGCCCACAGCCACCGTGGCAGGGTTCGACCTTGTATCACAATCTACATATCAGTACATGCGTTCACACAAAGAGCTGGAAGCGTTGGAGGATTTTATTAGGAAGAGCCCAACTTCAAAGCCAGAGGTACAGTACAAATTTGTTACATTCTCTATTCATGGAGCTCATTCAGGAGCAAGAAGGGCAGCCTGGGGGAAACCCCATATTTGCATCTGCATCAAGAGTCTTCTTTTGAGTGATGTTAAGAGAGCTCTGAAGTGTCTGTGGAAGGAGAAACACGAAGCAGGCAGAGAGAGAGGAAACAGCACCACAATGGGAAAAAAAATGGAAAATTCCCAATTCATTCACCCTGAAAAGACCTCAGTGTATTGTCTGTAGTCACTTCCCAGCAGCTGACAACAGGACTGCTTTTCACAGCTACCTTTTGACGACCCTTTCAGGAGCAGCCCGTGATTCCCAAGTGGCTGCAAACCACAGGTCAGAGCATTGTTTTTTGAGTACATGGCTTAAACTCAAGACAGGTGATGAAAACCCAACAGTCCAGCCCACCAAATGATGCCAATTTCAAAACCTATCACTAACAAAAGCACAAATTTGCTATTTTCACTGTCGAGTCTATGCATCAAGAGATTTCACTTCAAGGTATTCAACCACATGTTAAAATAAAAGTGGACACTGGATATCAACGGAGAGAACCTTCCTCTCAGTGCATGGCCTTTATGAACACAGCCAGAAACTCTTACAAGAAGTTCAGACTGAATCACAAACTCTCTCCCAGGATATGTGAATAGCATTTATTATAGTTCCACTAAATAATCCATGTGGCTAAACCCCCTCAAGCAATAGACATGGAGTTCTGTAGATTCTCCAGTGTTCTGCAGTCAGGATCTGCTCTGACATGCAAGCCCAAGACCACAGCTTCAGCTCCCTGAACAAAAAAAAAAAATAATTGCTGTTAACCATAGAGAAACTGATATGTGTAATTAAAAGCTGATTAGTGTTACAATATTTCTCCTAAGGCAGGGAACTTCGTTCAGCAATTTCCTCTTCTAATCTAAACCAGCTAACAGCTGGCAGCCCAGGCAGAGAGTGAGCTGTGGCAGAAGTCATTCTACCAGACTTAGCAAAACCAAGCTCCAAGTTTCACCTAACAAAGGGAGAGAAAGTACTTGTAGTGTCCACGTAGGCTTCACCTCACACAAGAATTTCCTGCGCAGGACCGCAGCAAACTCACCTCTGGATTCTACAAGGGAAGCTCTCGGCTCTCACTGCTGGCAGAGCTGACAGTCGGAAGAACTGCTAAGTGGAAAATGGCAAGACAAACAGGCCTTCTCATTACTTCTTACTTGCAACCCACCACCACTGCCAACAGCAGTTTTTCCAGTGTTTGAGCTCCAATTGCAGTGAAACCCTAATCAATCTCTTAAGCAAACAAGCAGCAAGGTTTCCTCCCAAACGAGGGTCTCTGCTATCCTTCATTATAGACCTAAATTTCCCTCAACCCCCACAAATTTTATGTCGCTCTAGTCAGTATTAGTTTAAGCTGTTGACAGAAAAGAAGTCCTGACTCCCAAACCGAAGTGACTGGAAATTCCTCAGGACTGAGCATCTAAGATTAGAAATAGGTGTAAAAACAGACTGATGAAAGCACCACTAAAGTACTGACACACGCAGGTGATTAAGAATTTAACTGTATTTTGAGGTCTCAGATTTGCAACATCTTATCTCAGCCCACTGTGTCAGTTTAAGTACAAAATTCCCCTCAGCAATAAGGACTAACAGACTTCTTGCTACAACAACACTGCTGTGGAAAACAACAGCGACAACCTGTCTGTCAGAGCAGTACATAGGGAGGATGCTATTCCGCTGTTGCTCAGGACTCTAATCAGATAGAGACACAGAGATCAAAATAAACCGTAAATAATCAAGTTGAGCATTTACTAAACTCTTTCCAAGTGCTGGAGTAGGGACTGGTCAATGTCAGGTACAGCAAATACTCCAGGGTGACTCGATCATGTTCCTTAGGCCCAGAAGGGGGGGCTGAGCAGCAAAGCAATATAGTAAAAAGCAAAAGGAACTCCTCTTCACACAGGGTTACATAGTAGACACTTATCTTGATAGCTAAACATCCAAGTACTTCCTTCATGCCATTCTCCCACATAAACAACTGCTGTTCCTGGTGTCAGACACTGTGTCAGCAGAGATGGAGAGCAGCAGA